GAGAGAGAGAGAGAGAGAGAGAGAGAGAGAGAGAGAGGGGGGGGGACTGGAAGAGGAGAGTTGCTGTGTCATATTCATTTTATGTATTTATTTATTTTAGAATCATTCTAGGCACAGCACGATCTGTACAAAACCATGCTCATAAAAGTATTGCTTTTGTTTGTTTGTCAGACATAATAATCAAAAAAGGACGTAGAATCAGATTAGTCCATTTGTTCGGCTAACAATTATTTCTTATTAAGTCCCAGAAAGTTTCATGTCTGGCTAATCTTGAATGATAGTCCTAATCAAACTTTCTGTTGTCTCTTTCTCCCCGCATCTGAAGAGTGTTTAAAAGTAAACACAAATGATGGAAAGGGAATCCCTATGGCAGAAATTAAGAAATAAAATACAGGGATTAACCTCCAGCCTTATGTGCCTTTATCTCTAGTCTGCCTTGCATCCAAAGAGAGACTGTTTAACCATTAAAAAAGATTAAAGGTATTAATTAGACTAAGAGATAGAAACCTATCACCCTTCTGTCAGAGCAGACCGGAATAAACCTTCTACGAGATTAAAAAAAACAAATCTATATTTTTAGAGTTTGGCCTAAACAACAGTCCTGTTGATCAGCTTTTTTTTTATTCTTATTGTTGGCTAACAGATTAAACAAATGGAGCTGCAATCGAATAAAATATTTGATGCATCAGTGTATGAGAGGCAAAAACACTACTTTCTCCTCATATCAAAGTAGTTTACAGCTCTATATACAAACAAATATAATGATGTTGGGATTTCATAAATCTATGTAAACAAAACAATAGAAGAAGATTAGCCGAAAGCTCCAGCAATGGAACTCTGAGTTGCCTTGTTTTCCTAAAATGAATCTACTATAAAGTACATTTAAATTATGTAGGATACTATTTTAAATGTCCTTTTCAGCAGAAACAGATATTATACCATTGTCAGTTTTATGCCATATCTCACAACAGATTAGATGTTGTTTAGAGTCAGTTGTCATGGGAAGATTACAAAGTATTATTCAAGAAAGGAGACATTTTGAAGAAGATGGTTTGTTTTTATCCAAGAATAACCCGTTTTGTATTTTTTCAATCTTTGTATGATTTTAAAGTATTTCTTACAGATTAAAAAAAGATTTTTTTCTTTCAGCTTTCAACTCTGAATTAGACATCCTTATAAAAAGAATTGATGTTAATAAAATACGTTCATCTCATCATGTGCTAAAGGTGACCCTGTTAGAAAAATAGATTATGATGAGGTTGGAGAATTATAATGGGCTCTATTAAATAGCACTATTTGAAATATGTTGAAGGCAGCTGCTAAACAGCAAATTGAAAAAAATGATATTAAAGGTCACAATCAAAGAAATACTTTGGGCATATACTAAGAGCTGATAAACGACAATGGACAATTTTGTCATAAAGGTAATACACACACACACACACACGCACGCAGTGTTAAAGTCTGATCTTGCCTACACCAGTGTACAGCCCGAGTAACAGCTTTAGAGATGGTAGTAGAATATACTGGATTTACACTGATGTAAATGTTATGAGTCTGTCTCACTATATTCTGTGTTGCCTTAACTTTTATTTATTTAATCGCTATATCAGAGGAGAATTTCTGAGAACTCTGCAAAGAAGTATAAACAAACAAAACGTTCGAAGAGATGCTTCTGGTCTCCAGAGCTAGTTTACTGTTTCTCTGTGCTTTATGGTATGAATAGAAGAATAGGTGTGATCACTTCTAATTCTTTATTTAAGGTTTTCAGTCAACATAGGCCAACTTCTGCTCAATTAACTGGTATAAATCCAGAATAACTTCAGGGAGGATAAATTCAGCTCTCAATAAGACTGGTATAAATCTGGAAAAACACTTATTCGGGGTGAAATTTGACCCCATAATTTGAAGTTAATCTTCACGTATTTAAAATATATTTAATAGTGTTATCCTGACTCCTTGATGCCTAAAACTAATACAACCACAACAATTTTCTTCTGGAAAATAGTGTCTCTGGTTAAATGATATTCTAGCAGTGTCTTCTAGACACTCAATGTCTCATTATAAACACTGAGCAAAATTCCAGGTCATGTTGTGCACATACTTACAGTCAGACACCAGACTGAGGCGTTGGGAACTGCATCGGTGATGAATATACCAAATCCTGACATGGCACAAAGTACACAGACTTTTGTTTCCTCTTGTTTCATAAAAAGCATGCTGAAGGGTGCTTCAGAAAGGGGCAAGGCCAAGGGAAGAGAGCCATAGCACTGCTATGAAAAAAGCACAAATTTTATGGATTTTAGCCAAATGAACTATTCTGGAGCACGAATACTGTATATCATGCACAGGACTTCATGGCCCACGATAAGGCTATTTCTCAAGTGTTTGGTCACATACATATGGTAATACACTTTACCCCTAGTTAAATTCTCATGGTTTGTGGGGGGATGAAAATACCTCCCCTGTGTCATTCATGCTAGAGTTACACTCAGTCGGAAGTCATTGGACACATGGGTTATGCCAGGATCAGAGTTCTGGCAATTGGCATTTCATTAGCCAGTTTTGTCATCCCAATCTCCCAAGCTTCTCATCCCAATTGCCTCCTCTCACTCACAGTTGCAGTCTCGTTGCCCAATCATTTCAATTCTGCCCCCCAAATTCCCAGCTCCTTGTCCTCAGTCTCCTTACATAGCCAGTTCCTCCCACCACTGTTCCTCGTCTAAATCGGTCCCTCTAATCTAGCTTGGCCTCCAGTCACCTCCTCACACACCTACATTCCCCATCCCCACTGGCTCCCAGTCCCAGTCTCCCTCCCTAGACTCCAGTTTCAGTGTCCTCTCCCCCCACTGCTCCTTTTCACGGACAGTCCCAGTTGTCTCCCTGCATCCCAGCTGCTTTTCACATCTGTCTTCCCTCCCCCATTACTTCATTCCACCGGCTCCACTGGTTTGCAGTCTCCTTGCCTAGCCAATAACAATCTCTCTTGGCTCCTCATCAGATCTCAGTCTTCCTCAATCTAGTGGCTCTAAGTCCCTCCCTGTTCCCCTCTTCAGATCCCAATCCCAGTCTCCTTGCCCAGACAGTCGCAGAGTCAGTCTCTAATCCCAGTCCCAGTTTCTCTCTCCACTCCTGCCAGCCTCCAATCCCACTTCCTGGCTTCTCGTCCCAAACTACTCCCCCATCAGTTCCAGCTCTTGTCCCCTCTCATTTGAATCAAGCAGCTTCCTCCTCCATGAGCCCATCAAGGAGGTCCAGGTTTTATCAGAATCATCTCCTCTTTGAGGTAGCTGTTCTGGGAAATCTGTCAGGGTGCTCATTACCCACTGCCATCTGTCCAGCTTTATGGGCTCAGAATCATCTTGGATGTCCTGGTTTTTTTGTGCCTCAGAGGTGGCAACCTTAGCAACAGCCTAGAGATGGAAAGTTCTGTTCAGCCCTGAGCTGGAGCCCTGTGTGGACAGAATATTCAAGGAATTTAGCTTCTAAAATCTAAGAAGTCTGTACTAAGCATGTATGAACTGTGATTTTTCACAGGCTTGTGACTTGGTCAAATTTAGGCTGGTTTTCATGGGTGACAAAAGGCACATCCCTGACACAATGGCCACTCTGCTGAATTTTAAGTTCATGCACCAAAGGCTTAGGGCACTAGAAATTCTCAAATGAAAGGTCATCAGAATTTTTTAACGTGAGCAAAACAACGTTTTTTTCCCCTGTGCCTGGTGTTTTGTAGTGGCTGAAACTTTGTAGCTGAAATTAAAAAAAAATAGAACTGGCATCTGGCCTAGAAAATTTCAGCCCAAATGGTTAAAGTTTGACATAGTTACAAGCAGTTGAAACAGGGGTTTTATAAAAGGAAGTGTCACACAACTTTAATGAAGGATGGTGCTACCAGCTGTGCTTGTAATCACTATTTGGTGTATACAGGCCAAGATATGTACAGAAGGACATACTGTCTGACATCTAGTAGGTTATATCCATTTTGGTATATAATGTGGGGTTTGGCCACCATATTTAGAATCTTGCCATTTGGTTTTAACAAGCTTCAAATCAATTTAGTAAAACAAATACAAAGAATTATGTTGAGATAGAGTTAATTGTCTGACTTAAATTGACAATTAAAATTCTTAGATAAAGCAGCCTTTTCAGCCTCAACTGAGCTCAGTGTATCTCTATGTTGTACAGGTGTTTCTGAAACATTCTGAAATTTCATACCAGCAGCTCCCATAAGAATAGAATCAGTTTACCAAACTTGCTACTATGTGGATCTGAGAAGAGAATGTTGATGTTAAACTAGCAAAAGCAAAGAAGTTACTACATTGTCACCATCACTTCATTTTTCATGTATGCAAAGGTGCAAAGTTTTTGTAGCACACTTGACCTCAATGGGAGCTCCATGCAGTTAGGAAGAATACCAAAGTAGAAAACTACCATGTGGAGAGAAGAATGTTGACCTGTTCTTATCACTTTTTTAAATAGATGATGTGTTTTATTCTTTTTGTTTTTAAATTAGAGCACAAAATAAACAGGGAAGGAAAAGAAAAAACATTAACAAGGAGCAAGTGTCAGTGTCACAAGTCACTTTGACTATTGTATCATGTACACTGATCTTAGGACCATTTACAGTGTCCTAAGAGCATTCTCTGTCTTTTACTGGAGCCATTCCAAGGTCAGCCTTTTGTCAAGACTTTATGCACTTAATGCAATAATATGCTGAAACTCTGCTTATTAAGGACACTATAATTACTTTCTTAAGAAAGGAAGATCCAAGGAAAAATTGATAAATTAAAGAACCCAGAGGCGCAACATGGGCCAGTCAACTAATAAGACTAGAAGCCAGACACTCGAGTTCTAATTCCAGTCTTCTCATTGACTGTGGTCCCAACCCTACTCTCATGATACTCCATGGGGCCCAGATCCTCAAAAGAATTTAGACACCTAACTCCCCTTGAAATTAATTGGAATTAGGCATCTAAATACCTTTAGGATCTAAGCATGGGATTCACTTCAGTAGAGCAAGATCAGGCTTATATTGCCAGACCTTGGGAAAGTCACTACCTCTCTCCCTCCATCTGTAAAACTGGAATTATTATACTTAATGACATAATCATAGCACTGTAAAGATTAATTAATGTGTATACATTGGTTTAAAGATGAGAAGTGCTTTATGGAATTATGTTTGAATTGGTTAACTTAAACTTCAATATTGTGGGTACAGTTTTGGGGTCCACAATTACACCCATTTTGATGCCTAACTACCTGACTTGTGGGTACAGTCATGTTGTTAGACTTCAAAATGGGTACAGCTATGGGTGAAAATAAGTGAACCTTCATTTAAGTATGGGCGCAAAACTATGTCTGCAATATTAGAGGTCTTTTTTGAAGTTGTAGGCCTGTAAGTGTTAATTATTATTATTATTATTATATTATTTTGTATATTAACACACAAAGTTCAGTTGATAGATAGATAGATAGATAGATAGATAGATAGATAGATAGATAGATAGATAGATAGACTTCTTTTTAGCTAGAAGAATCTAAAACAATTTTGATGGGTTTAAGATGCTAATTTGTCAACTAAAAACAGCTAAACTGTTTTAAATGCAATTTTGGGGAAAAACATATGTGGACTGAGAACTTCTGTGTCATGCATCAGTCCAAAGCAAATTAAAATAGCTGCGTTACTGTGGAAAACACTCAAACACAAGGCTCATAATGGATCTGTTAACAGACCCTTAGTTATAGTGGTGATGCTGAATGCCTCCATAGTAATATATTTCAAATGATTTAGTTGACTAAGTGCTTCAAAGAACACAAGAAAATATCATTTGAAGTACTAGTTCAGTTGGGCAATTTGAGCAAATGTCATTTTGAAAGCATTTTGGTTGGCTTTTCACTTCAAAACCCAGAGATGGGCAAAGAATTTTGACGCATAATGGACTTGATTTTCCTCTTCCATGCACTGGAGACTACATTGACTTCAATGGTGTTACTCCTGATTTTTTATGGAGTATGTGAGAAGAGAATCAGGCCCCATATTGGAAAACATAATCCCAACTATACATATAAAATGATGGGGTCTATATTAGCTGTTACCACTCAAAAAAGATCTTGAAGTCACTGTGGATAGTTTTCTGAAAACATCCACTCAATGTGCAGTGGCAGCCAAAAAAATGAACAGAATGTTGGGAATCATTAATAAAGAGATTAGATAATAAGACAGAAAATATCATATTGCTTCTATATAAATCCATGGTACACCCACATCTTGAAAACTGCATGCATGTGATCGCCCCATCTCAAAAAATATATATTGGAATTGGAAAAAGTTCAGAAAAGGGCAACAAAAATTATTAGGGGTATGGAAAGGCTTCTGTATGAGGAGAGGTTAATAAGACTGGGATTTTTCAGCTTGGAAAAGAGACGACTAAGGGGGGATATAATTGAGGTCTATAAAATCATGACTGGTGTGGAGAAAGTAAATAAGGAAGTGTTATTTACTCCTTCTCATAACACAAGAACTAGGGGTCACCAAATGAAATTAATAGGCAGCAGGTTTAAAACAAACAAAAGGAAGTATTTCTTCACACAACGCACAGTCAGCTTGTGGAACTTTTTGCCAGAGGATGTTGTGAAGGCCAAGACTATAACAAGATTCAAAAAAGAACTAGATAAATTCATGGAAGATAGGACCATCAATGTTTATTAGCTAGGATGGGCAGGGATGGTGCCCCTAACCTCTGTTTGCCAGAAGCTGGGAATGAGTGACAGGGAATGGATCACTTGATGATTACCTGTTCTGTTCATTCCCTCTGGGGTACCTGGCATTGGCCACTGTCAGAAGACAGGATACTGAACTAGATGGACCTTTGGTCTGACCCAGTATGGCCGTTCTTATGTTCTTATCTGTGATGTTCCCTTCCCACCCTTTATATTTCTATTCCCCATCCTGTTGATGTATGGGCTACTATATGGTACCTGGAGGGCCACTGACTTTTGAATCAGAATGATGATACAATTGCATAATATTGCACTAACACTTGCATGTTCCTGCACCTTTTGTTTAAATGAAAACAGCACCAACCAACAAGATAGGAGAGAAAGCAGCATTTTTAAAAATTAAGAAAATGTAAAGTAAACCCACCCTGTTACCCTATTATGAATCATAACCTTTATGTGAAATCATTGCAGTACTATTGTCCTTGCCAGTAGGCAGACCTATCAACCATGCATTTTACAGTGTATGAGCACTAAAGATAGTACCTAAATCCTT